GCACAGAATGGAAAGTCCCCTGGAGAATCCCTAGTCAATCATTCTAACGCTAGCACAGAAATCAAAGCTTGGAAATGTTAATACAGGGACTACAACTCCCAGAATCCCCTGCCAAGGGGATGTGCCAGCTGTAGTCCCGGAAAGGCAGCTTTCCCCAAGACTATCCCAGGCTTCACATCCACAGGACTAAAAGAAAACAAACCGAAAAGCAAGTGAGCACCTTGCTTTGTGGAGAGACGCCAACACGTTAGCTAGGCTTGGCAGTTAAGGCTCAAGAAAGCATTGACACAGAATCCCTTTGCATTTCAGCCCCTTAAGACACTAAGGGAAAAAACAATAAATCATTGATGCACCAAAATATATCGATATATATATATATATATAAAACAAATAGGTTCCCAAAACAGGCAACAACAGGGACAGCAAGGAAAAGGGGAGTACATTCTTTCAAGTCAAACCCCGCTTGCCTTTGAACTGTCATTCAAATTAGAGAAGGATATATTATTAAATAGCAAAACAAAAGGCTCCTATATTTCCCAACCGCAAACCTGGCCCGAGTTTGTCGGAAACAGGGACAGGCTAGGAGTGAAATAAATAAATACGAGGGTTTTTGCCCTCCAAGGGATCGGTGAGTCTGTCCAGCATCCTGGCACACGAGGCCCTCCTCCCTGCAGCAGCACTGAAATGACCACGGCATTCAAACAAACTGGCAGCGAGACTCAAGAACGGTGTCCTGCTCCGGCTCCTTGGCCATCACCACCAGAGGTTCGGAGGCTCCTCGGCCACCCGGCTTTTGAACAAGGTGATCTCGTCCAAGTGCATCATGGGGACGTCTCGGATGACGTCGGTCAGGTCCTCGTGGAGCAGAGGAAACACCACCACATCCAGGGCGGGTCGCTCAGCCTGAAAACTAAACCAGAAGGAGAAAGGTTAAACAATTCCGGCCCAGTTTACCTGTCCGAACGTATTCTCCCCTATGAACCATCTAGGTTGTTAAGATCGTCTGGAGGGGCCCTGCTCTCGGTCCCACCGGCCTCTCAGGCGCGTCTGGTGGGGACGAGGGACGGGGCCTTCTCGGTGGTGGCCCCTCGACTCTGGAACTCTCTCCCACTGGAGATCAGAACTGCCCCCTCCATTCTGTCATTCGGAAAACGGGTGAAAACCTGGCTATGGGGTTTGGCTTTCGACGAGTGAATCAATATTTCTGTGATCGGATAGATGACGATGAATGATGGAAAACGAATTCACTATGACGACTGACCATTGTTATTATGTGATTGCGTTTTGCTATTATAAGGTTTTAATTGAATATGTTATGTGATGTTTTTAATGATTGTTTTGTGATTTTATTGTTGGAAACCGGCCCGAGTCCCCCGATAGAGGGGAGAAGACCGGTATACAAAATTGCTAAATAAATAAATAAATAGGGCCAACAAGAAAATAATAATAATAATAATAATAATAATAATAATAATAATACTTTATTTATACCCCGCTCCATCTCCCCCAGGGTGACTCACTGCGGCTTACATCACTACAATACATCTATATATATATAAAAATGCTCTGTGCATAATGAGTACCTTAAAAACAAAAGAACCAATGAACGAAATCACACCAAATTTGGCCACAAAATGTCTCACAACACAAGGAGTGACCATCACTTAAAAATTATGATTTTGTCATTTGGGAGTTGTAGTTGCTGGGGTTTATAGTTCACCTACAATCAAATAGCATGATAGAATTGAACCAGGACTCCCATGACCAACAGAAAACACTAGAAGGGTTTGGTGGGCATTGACCTTGAGTTTGGGAGTTGTAGTTCACCTACATCCAGAGAGCACTGTGGACTCAAACAATGATGGATCTGGACCAAACTTGGCACAAATATTCCATAAGCCCAAATATGGACACAGATGGAGTTTGGGGGACATTGACATTTGGGAGTTGTAGTTACTGGGATTTATAGTTCACCTACAATCAAAGATCATTCTGAACCCCACCAACGACAGAATTGGGGCAAACTTCCCACACAGAACCCCCATACTGAAGGCCATCCAGTCCAACTCCCTCCACCAGGGCAAGAAAACATAATCAAAGCCCTCCTGACAAAGAGCCATCCAGCCATAGATTAGATAGATAGAAGTGATTCACACACAGAGAGATATAGTATAGATTTGAAAGGGACCCCTAAAGAAGGACAATTTCCATGTTGCATGTTCCAGAGTAGGCAAACCAGACAATCTCCACATCAACACTGGCAAAGAAACAGCAAGAAATACTGTTGACCCACAAGCAAAAAGACATTACATATATTAGAAACCAACACTTTCTCATTACTTGATTTTCCAGATCACCAGACTGGGCCACAGCAACACATGGCAGGGGACAGCTAGTGTAGCTTATAAAAGAGAGAAAATTATAAAAATAATAGAATCATAGAATCATAGAGTTGGAAGATACTGTTGCACTCCAGGACAGGAAAAGCCCTCTGAATGTAAACACCACACCGTTGATTGGAAAACAATCATTTTATTGAAGATAATTAAAAAGCAGCAAAGTAAAAAGCACTTTAAAGAAATAGGTAAATCCAATTAAGTCAGAAGATAAGCAGGAGCAAAATGAGTCCAGGGTAAAATTCCGCAAAGTCCATAAAAACAAAGTCCAAACCAGAAAACATTGATCCAACACCAACCAAGAATCCAAACCATGAATTAAGAATTACTTAGACAAGAATCTTCCAAGCAATAATAATAATAATAATAATATTAATAATAATAATAAACTTTATTTGTACCCCGCTCCATCTCCCCAATGGGGACTCGGTGCGGCTTACATGAGGCCAAGCCCAAAACAATTACCTAAAACAAAAGACAACATAGCAATATAAAATTACAATAAACACAATCACGGTAACATGGGCAAGCTACATGTAATGGATAAAAGAAAATGGGGTAGAAACAGAATTAAAAACTCAGGTGAGATAAACACGAGATAAACAAGGACAGATTATTTGCGGAGGAGAGCTCGTTTTAGTGGAGGTCGTGGAGCAAAACTTTCCTATGAGGGGAATGCACTCCAATAACAAAAAACGTTAGACTAAACACTAGTATGAGGATGTAGATCTACTCATCAAATGCGCAGCGGAAGAGCCAGGTTGTGAGGTTCTTTTTAAAGGTTTCTAGGGTAGGGACTTTCCTAATCTCTCCAGGAAGTGAGTTCCAGAGTCGGGGAGCCACAGAGGAAAAGGCTCTCTCCCTTTGCGAGTCTGGGAGATTGGCGGAGGCAAAAGAAGGGCCTCCCCAGAAGAACGGAGGGCCCGAGATGGTTCATGGAGAGAGATAAGGCTTTCATGAAACAAGAATGAGAACTTCATTTGATTCCAAACTATGCTTCATCTGACTATATTTCCCATACTTGGAACTTTTATCCCCTCTTTAATCTATGCCAAGCACTGAGAAATTGGTTTCATTTTAACTGAGATTTCCTTATCTTCTTCTGTCGGATTCTGGCAGACTGCCGAAGCCACTGTTCGGTTTACCTGTTTTGACTAATCTCCTGATGCCTATCTATTTGCTCAAGTTTTGCAGCTGGGCCAGGTGCCCAGTTGTTTTCAAGCCCCAAATCCTGGGAACTCTCTGGTAGCAATTCAGAGAGTACACTATCATCCTCACACCCTTCAGGGACATTCTTGTGGCAAACTACACTTTGCACAGGAGTCTCCTGGTCCTTCTCTGCATCAGTATCATTGACCAAACCATTGCCATCTTGAAATTCATTGGCATCACTTCCCACATCCAAAGCACCCTGATCCTTAAAGACAATCACAGGCTGAACTCCAACAGATACCTCGTGGGCCATCTAGTCCAACCCCCTGCCTAGAAGCAGGAAAATCGTATTCTAAGCACCCCCGACAGATGGCCATCCACCCTCTGTTTAAAAGTCTCCAAAGAAGGAGCCTCCACCACACTCCTGGGCAGAGAGTTCCACTGTTGAACATCTCTCACAGTCAGGAAGTTCTTCCTAATGTTCAGGTGGAATCTCCTTTCTTTCCTGTTGTTTGAAGCCATTGCTCCAGACAAGAAACAATCAGGGACAGCTAATCACCTTTCAACAAAGGATTCCCCCAGGCAGTAACAAGCCACACCTAAAAACTGTCAGGCCATCAAATGCTAATCAAGGTGGCCAATTTAAACATTATCACCAACCTCCAATAGATAAGTGTTTTTTCTCCCACCCTGGACTTTATATAGATATATAAACTCAATTTTCCTAGGTTGTTATAGGTTTTTTCGGGCTATATGGCCATGTTCTAGAGGCATTTTCTCCTGACGTTTCGCCTGCATCTATGGCAAGCATCCTCAGAGATAGTGAGGTCTGTTGGAACTAGGAAAATGGGTTTATATATCTGTGGAATGACCAGGGTGGGACAAAGAACTCTTGTCTGTTGGAGCTAGGTTTGAATGTTTCAGTTGGCCACCTTGATTAGCATTTGTTGGAATGGCTGTTGTTTGGTATGGCTTGTTAGTGCCTGGGGCAATCTTTTGTTGAGAGGTGATTAGATGTCCATGATTGTTTCCTCTCTGTTGTTTTGCTGTTGTAATTTTCCTACAGACCTCACAACATCTGAGGATGCCTGCCATAGATGCAGGTGAAACGTCAAGAGAGAATGATTCTAGAACATGGTCATACAGCCCAAAAGACCTACAACAAACCAGTGATTCTGGCCATGAAAGCCTTTGAAAATACATTTTTCCATTGCATCCTAGTCTCCAGGCAGCAGAAAGGAAGCTTGCTCCTCCCTATGACTTCCCTTCACCTCTTGATCCATGGTCCTCATCCTGTCTCCTCTCAGCCTTCTCTTCTGCAGGCTGGGATTGGGTAAAGGAGCACATTGACTAAGTACATGGCAACTCTACTAGAAGATCACCATGTTGATCTTGTCCGTTGTGCAAGGACGTGATGCAATTCACCTGGCCTCCATGGAGGTAGAGCATAAAGAAAGGAAGGAACCTGCCCCTGAAGATGAAAACAACTCCGAGAGGAGACCATTCTTGGTTGCCAAAGCGCACTATGTGCAAACTCTGTGTTCAGAGGCAATGCTCCTTCTTGCATGCCTTCCTAAAGGGCATTTGGTTAGGTAGGACTCAGGCCAAACCCAGAGCTTGCAAGAGGACTTCTTTTGTTTACTCCCACGGGTCCCTAGCTTTGACCGAGATGGGCCATTAGTCTTCAACAATCTTCTCAGGTTCTTCCAGGCTCACAAAGAGCCAAAACCAGAGCTAGGAAAAGGCTGTTTTATGTTTTCACTCCCACTCCTGCAGTTTTCCAGCAAGCCAAGATGCGGCTGAAGTGGACCACCAGTCTGACCTCCAACCAATTCCTTAATTTCTTCCAGACTTATGTTCAGACAAAGAGCAGCGCCTTCTCATGAGTGTCTGCTGAGGACAGACGTTACAATCATAAAATCCGAGAGTTGGAAGAGACCTGGTGGGCCATCCAGTCCAACCCCATTCAGCCAAGAAGCAGGACAATCGCATTCCAAGTGTTACTTCTTGAAGCACATCCTGGCTTGTGGGAGTTGGTGGACTAGCCTTTGAGCTGTACTGGGGCTCTGACACCAAACATAGGAGTTTTCTCACATGGTGGGCATCCGCGCAAGCGAAGCAGGAGTGAGACTGCAGAGATCTAGGGATGAATTCTTGTACCCATCCCTCATCATTTCCATAATAACGCTGGGAGCAGCACACATCTGGACCCAATGAACATACTCCATGCTTCCTGAGCAACCCAAGCATGCGGTTTGGTGTAATTCTGAAAATACAGGCATGCTCCTAAACCTGATAATCTCATTTGAAGAGTGGAAGGAGCCACTCCCAAAGACTGAGTTTGCAATTAATACATTTTTCA